AAAAAATGATTGTAGAGAATCTTAAGTAGAAAAATGGTTAGAGGCTCTTGATCCAAGGAACAGGACGTATCTTACCCTTGATTGGACCGAATTTCAATACCTTCCATTCCACAGGCGCTACATAACCTCTACAGGTTTAGAGCTTCCTTCTCATTAAAATATAACAATAGTGAACAGCATCAATCATCAATGGCTGACCCATCTAATACGATACATATTTTTCCCCTATAATCTACCTTGTCCATAGATACTAACGTATTTGCTTTGTCTTCTCTTTCGTAAGGTGAAGTCCAGGATCTTTCTTTAATTCATGGTATAACTTAACAAATCTTTGATGGCAACTGTGTTGTAGAGGTCTGAGCTTTGCTCAGACCTCTACGACACGAAGTTAGAAAAAGAAGTTAGAGAAAGTGCAAGCCTTCACACTTTCTCTAACTTCTTGACGTGCTTGACAAGGCGTGGGCTCCAAACTGGTGCTGCATACTCCAGTATGGACCTGACGTACACTGTGTACAGAGTCTTGAACGATTCCTTACTGAGGTGTAGGAACACTGTTCTTAGGTTTTCCAGGCGACCATATGCTGCAGCAGTTATTTGGTTGATGTGCCCCTCAGGAGATGAGCTCGGTATTATACACACCTCATGATTATTTTCTTGAGTAAAGTTTGCAGTCTTTGGCCACCTAGCCTATACTCTGCAGTCTTCTTTGCCCTTCCCGGTGTTCATGACTTTGCATTTGGCGGGGTTAAATTCAAGGAGCCAGTTGCTGAACCAGGCCTGTAGCCTGTCCAGGTCTCTTTGTAGTCCTGCCTGATCCTCGACCGATTTAATTCTCTTCATTAACTTCACATCATTTGCAAACAGGAACACTTCCGAGTCTATCCCTTACGTTATATCATTCACATATACCAAAAACAGCACAAGTCCTAGGACTTACCCCTGTGAAACCCCGCTCGCCACAGTCGCCCACTCTGACACCTTGTCACGTGTCATGACTCGTTGTTCCCTCCCGTCAGATATTGCCTTTCCTGTTACGCGTGCCTGATCCTCTAGTTTTTGCATTAACCTCTTGTGAGGAACTGCGTCGAAGGCCTTCTTGTAGTCCAAGAAAATGCAGTCTATCCACCCCTCTCTCTCATGTCTTACTTACATTACCTTGTCATAAAACTCCAGCAGGTTTGTGACATAGGATTTGCCTTCCCTGAAACCGTGCTGGTTGTCTTTTATAAGCTTGATCTTTCTAGGTGCTCTGCCAATCTCTTTCTGATAATCTTCTCCATGACTTTGCATACTATACCCGTCATTGACAGAGGTCTCTAATTTAATGCCACGAGTCTGTTTCCTTTCTTAAAAACTGGGACCACATTTGCCATCTTCCATATCTCAGGTAGTTGTCCAGTTTCAATGGATGTGTTGAAGATTTTTGTTAGTGACACACACAGTATCTCTGCTCCCTCTCTACGGATTCACAGAGAGATGTCCAGTCCCACCGCCTTTGAGGTATCAAGTTCACATAGCAGCTTCATATCTTCCTCGGTTGTGTGTATTTCATCCAACACTTGTTGGTGTATCCCTTGTTGGTGTACCTCCCTATTCCTGACTTCAGGAGACGTTCCTGTCTCCACTGTAAATACATTTTTAAATCTCATGTTGAGTTCCTCACATACTTCTTGGTCATTTCTTGTGAACTCCCTACCTTCCTTCCTGATTACCTGGTCCTTGACTGTTCTTTTCTCCTGATGTGGCTATGCAACAGCTTTGGGTCAGACTTGACTTTCGATGCTATGTCATTTTCGTATTGTCGCTCAGCCTCCTTTCTTATCTATGCATATTCGTTTCTGGCTCTTCGGCTAATCTGTTTATTTTCCTGGGTCCTTCATCTTCTGTATTTTTTTTTTTTTTTTTTTTTTTTTTTGCCTCCCTACACTTTTGGGTGAGCCAAGGACTCATTCTGGTCTTCCCATTATTTATGTTGCCCATGGGAACAAACCTCTCCTCTGCCTTCTTGAATTTTGTCATGTAATCAATCATTTCTTTTACTGGTTTTCCTGCCAATTCTCTTTCCCACTGAACATCTTTCAGGAAGTTCCTCATGCCTGTGTAGTCACCTCTTTTTTAGTTTGGCATCTCCCATCCTATTCCTTCTACCCTCTCCACTTGCAGCTCAACTATGTATTCAAAGCACAGAACCACATGATCGCAAGCTCCAAGGGGCCTTTCGTACATGATATCCTTAATGTCCGAACTACACAATATGAATATTAGTGTCTCTAACATGTTGTTGCATGAGGTTTTCCAATACCACATATATCATCTTGGTTCTTCATGTTTTTGGACCCCCATGGGGCTCCAGGTTTTCCCAGTCAATCTCCTTGTGATTGAAATCACCCATAACTAGTAAATTTGATCTACCCATGTGAGCTCTTCTGGCCACCTCGGTTAGTGTGTCTACCATTGCTCTGTTACACTCTTCGTATTATTCTCTTGGCCTCCTGCAGTTCTGTGGTGGGTTGTACATCACTGCAATTTCCACCTTATGGCTCCCAGACTGGACTATTCCTACTATATAGTCTCTTTTGCCCATTCCATCCATTCCTTCCATTTTCACAAATCCCCTCCGGTTTTTAATGAGCAGTGCAACTCCTCCTTCCCCCTCTGCTCCCTCTATCTTTCCTCAGGATTTGATATCTGGGTGGAAAGATTGCATCTGTTATCATCTTGGTGAGTTTCACTTTTGTGAGTGCTATTATGCCTGCGGATGTCTCCTATATTTGTAAACCAAACATTCGACTTTTTTTTCTAAAACTGTGGTCTGGCCGGTTGCTGTGAAGGTGGAGTTTGTAATGAAGTGGATGGGGGCATTGGGCATAGCATGTGTGTTTTAGGTTAGAATGTTTGGTTGCATTGGGGTTGTCCTGGTTATGGCACTTCTGTAGGTGGATGTGAGGGAGGTTGTATTTGATCTTCCTCCTGATGCTGGATTCTCCTGTCCATCTCCATCTTTCCCTCTCTTTCCCCTTTTGTCTTTGTACCCTTTCTTTCAGTTTCCGCCTTTCTTCTCATTTTCTGTTGCAGTCGAGATACACCCTCTGATTTGACAACACATCCCTTAGCTGTGCTTTCTCATGCAGGATCCTTGAAAATCACTTTGACTGGCATAGCCCCCTATTCTCAGAAAATTTGCCAGCTGGGTCAAGTCATCTTCTACTACTTTCGTGATGCTTTCAATCATTTTTCTTTCCCTTGTCTTCTTGCTTCATTAGTTTCTCCATCAACTTCCTGGAACCCATAAACAGACACTGATCTCTCCGTCTCATTCTCCCACTGCATATCCCTATGTATCCCCTGATTCGATTTAGTTGCCTCCGTTGCAGCTTTCCTTTTTTCAATCTTTTCACTATGTGTTGTCCCTGGGCTCAGTTGTCTGTCATTGTCCCTTCTCAGCTTTCCCTGGGCACCACTGTAGTCTATTAGGGCCTCTACATATAGTTTAGCTCTTTCATTTTCTACATTCTCCTCGATTGTTCCTGATGTGATCCTCTTTTTTTCTGGGGCTCCACGGTGGCCTGAGAGGGCCTCTGCATATAGTTTCACTCTTTCGTTCCATACAATTGCCTCGTTTGCGACTGCGGTAGCAGTTTCTGATTTCATGCCCACATTGCTCTTTAGTACTTTAGGCTGTTTCAGATTTTTCAGTTCCTCTTCTAATCTCTGTATCTTAGCCTCTGCTGCTGTGACTTGCAGCTCCCACTTCCTTCTCTCTGCAGCTATCTTTGCCTCTATTTTCTTGCTAAGCTCTTTAGCTTCCTTCCCTACCCATGTTCCCTTTTCATGAGCTCTGCTACCCAGTCCTCCTTCCCAAACTTATTATCTAGTCCCCCGGTTTTCTATCTTGCTCTCTGGAAACTCATTTTTTTTGGGTGCCACAGAATGAAAAACTTATGTATTTCTGTGTGGTTGTTTGTGATGTGTGTTTGATTGGGTGTATGTGTATGTATGTGTGTGGGGAGGGAGGTAGATAACCTATTCTTTATCGTACTAGGAGAGTTGGACCATTCACAAACAGTTTGGCGGTTAATTGGAACTCACACCGACTCCCTGATAACCACGAAGAGGTGAGATACCTGCAATGCAGTCTGTAGCAGCCTGTAGATTGCCCAACTCGTTGTAATGTCCTGGCGTATATCCACCTCTGTTTCTTATCGATATTTAATATAACCTATTCACTGTACTTCTTTCACAGGTCACACATTTATTTCACTTTATTGTCTTTCTTGGGTGACACATGTGGCAACCTCGCCTGGAGCACACTAGGCCTGCCCACTCTGACTTGCGCCACCAAATATCTCTTTGAAATTCACTTATAAATTGTGGATCTGCCCACACTGACGTTGCTCAGGGCAATTTGTATATCACTTCAAGGATTGTTCACTACCCTGACTCACTTAATGACCTTAAGTATCATTCAAAACACTTAAATTCACAGAGCACTGATGTTGTGACTGACCCACGCGTTGTCCCGTGTGTGTGTGTGTGTGTGTGTACTCACCTATTTGTGGTTGCAGGGGTCGATACATAGCTTCTGGCCTCGCCTCTTCACTGATCGCTATTAGGTCCTCTCTCGCACTGCTCCATGAGCTTTATCATACCTCGTGTTAAAAACTATGTATGGATCCTGCCTCCACTACATCGCTTGCCAGACTATTCCATTTCCTGACAACTCTGTGACTAAAGAAACACTTCTTAACATGTATGTGTGTGTGGGTAGGATATTCGTCACAATTCCTTAGTTCCAACAAGTGACGACAATTTTTTGTTGGTTGTTGTTAATTGTTGCATGACCTTGATCTGTCTGTTGTTGCACGGTCTTGACCTGTCAGTTCCTACCTGGTCTTGACCAGTCAATTGATTACCGGTCTTGGCCTGTCAGCTGTTGTTTGACCTTGACCTGTCATTTGTTGCTCTACCTTGACCTGTCACTACTGCAGCTAACCTCTTACCTCTGGCGGGGGTCGTCCTCCACGGCTCTCACACTCGAGGGTAACAGTCATCCCGGCTGTTGCTCGCAGAATGGGAGGCTTGACCCGAGGCGGGTCAGGTGGGACATACACAGTGAGACGCGCTGGGTGGGACCTGATGCCAGGTACTCCATCACTGGCACTCACTTGACACTGGTACAGCGAGTCATCCTCCAACAACACCGGCTGTATCTTCAGGCTGAAGTCTCCTGTAGGAAGGGAGTAGTCAGCAGCAGTCTACAGCTCACACTGCTTAATGGTTCAGTGATAATCGCAGCAGCGGTCCAGTCTTGGGCCAGAAACACTACTGAAATTAAAACTATTAAAACATATAGAAAAGTAATGACATGTGTTTAATTATCGTATGCTAATTAAAGATATATATCTGCTGTCTTAGGAGACCCATCAGAGTACAGGAAGGTTTAACAAGGTTTTGTTTCAGGATGCTGTTCCTCTCTGGATGGCTGCTGAGGTGCTTGTCTCGCGATCACACGACGTAAGTTCGAGCCTAATTTGTAAGTTTTGAAACAAGTGAGTGATTCACACTACTGAGATCTACCGAAAGTATCTCCAGATTAAGCTTATAAAATCATTGATAGAAGTTCAACAGCAGAGTCTACACAAAGTCAGTGAGGAAATTTTATTAAATAATTTGCTCACTACACAAATAACCCGCACATAAAAGAGAGAAGCTTACGACGACGTTTCGGTCCGACTTGGACCATTGACAAAGTGTGACTTTGTCAATGGTCCAAGTCGGACCGAAACGTCGTCGTAAGCTTCTCTCTTTTATGTACGGTTATTTGTGTATCGTTCCAGTCACGGTATTGTGCCTTTTTGTTATTTATTAATTTGCTCACATCAAGAAAAGTTAAAAGAAATAATATATTAAGAATCAGAGAGAGATACAGATAGATAGATAGATAGATAGACAGAGAGAGAGAGAGAGAGAGAGAGAGAGAGAGAGAGAGAGAGAGAGAGAGGAAAAGAAGAGAGAGAGAGAGAGAGAGAGAGAGAGAGAGAGAGAAGAGAGAGAGAGAGAGAGAGAGAGAGAGGAGAGAGGAAGAGAGATGAGGAGAGAGAGAGAGAGAGAGAGAGAGAGAGAGTAGTACGAAGCAATGAAGGGAAACAGCGAGCTGAAAATAGGAGACAAATGTGAACAAGTAAACTATATATAATAATTAAAAGTCAGGGGAGAGAAGAACAAAAAAAAATCACTATTCGCATTTCACACCAAAATATTTCATCTCATATTTCCGGCATTATTTTTTTACCCCTACACAATGACGTGTGTGAGGAAGAGGATGAAGTAAGAAAGACGGAAGAAGAAGAGTATGAGGAGTGGAGGATGAGAATAATAGAGGAAGGGAGAGGAGTGTTAAAAGTATTAATTACTTTGATAAATGATGCAACAGTATAAGATAACATTGTGGTATTATTCTCTATCTTGTGTCTGTCTCCTCTTTTTCCTTGGTCTCTCCTCCACACACCTTTACTCTTTCCTTGGTCTCTCCTCCACACTCCTTCACTCATTCCTTGGCCTCCCCTCCACACTCTTTCACTCATTCCTTGGTCTCCCCTCCACACTCCTTCACTCATTCCTTGGTCTCTCCTCCACACTCCTTCACTCATTCCTTGGTCTCTCCTCCACACTCCTTCACTCATTCCTTGGTCTCTCCTCCACACTCCTTTTACTCATTCCTTGGTCTCTCCTCCACACTCCTTCACTCATTCCTTGGTCTCTCCTCCACACTCCTTCACTCATTCCTTGGTCTCCCTCCACACTCCTTCACTCATTCCTTGGTCTCTCCTCCACACTCCTTCACTCATTCCTTGGTCTCTCCTCCACACTCCTTCACTCATTCCTTGGCCTCCCCTCCACACTCTTTCACTCATTCCTTGGTCTCCCCTCCACACTCCTTCACTCATTCCTTGGTCTCTCCTCCACACTCCTTCACTCATTCCTTGGTCTCTCCTCCACACTCCTTCACTCATTCCTTGGTCTCTCCTCCACACTCCTTCACTCATTCCTTGGTCTCTCCTCCACACTCCTTCACTCATTCCTTGGTCTCCCCCTCCACACTCTTTCACTCATTCCTTGGGTCTCCCCTCCACACTCCTTCACTCATTCCTTGGTCTCTCTCCTCCACACTCCTTCACTCATTCCTTGGTCTCCCCTCCACACTCCTTCACTCCATTCCTTGGTCTCTCCTCCACACTCCTTCACACTCATTCCTTGGTCTCTCCTCCACACTCCTTCACTCATTCCTTGGTCTCCCCTCCACACTCTTTCACTCATTCCTTGGTCTCCCCTCCACACTCCTTCACTCATTCCTTGGTCTCCCCTCCACACTCCTTCACTCATTCCTTGGTCTCCCCTCCACACTCCTTCACTCATTCCTTGGTCTCTCCTCCACACTCCTTCACTCATACATTCTCTACCTCGAGGGATTTCCAGGGGTCAAACTGCCCTGCTGCTGGTCCATAACCAGGCCTCAGGGTGGACCAGGGCCTGATCAAACAAGCTGTTACTTCTAGCCATACGGAATCCAACGTAAGAACTACAGTCCAAGAGCATTAAGCCAAAGCCAAAGCTTGTATAAGATCCTAACAAGTTTTTTTTTAGTGTTTCAGAGTGAGCCTCGAATAACTTACTAGAACTAGAGGCTCCCTGTAACCCCAGACCAGGATCGCCTTGAAATTCAAGATGGCCGTTATTGTTGTTTTCACTCCGATATTGAAAAAAGACAGCCAGGGGCCTATTGGTAATCACCCTTATGTATGCTGGGAGGCAGCTGAACAGTCTTGGGCCCCTAACACTTACTGTGTTTTCTCTCAGTGTACTCATGGCGCCCCTGCTTTTCATTGGGGAAATGTTGCATCTCTTGCCGAGTATTTTGCTTCCATAGGAGTGATTTTCGTGTGTAAGTTTGGTACTAATCCCCCTACGATTTTCCAAGTGTATATTATCATGTATCTCTCTCGCCTGCGTTCCAGGGAATACAAATCAAGGGACTTCAACCATTCCCAGTAATTTAAGTGCCTCATCGTACTTATGTGTACCGTGAAAGTTCTTTGTACACTCTCCAGGTCAGCAGTTTTGCCTGCCTTGAAGGGGGCAGTTAGTGTACAGCAGTGGTCCAGCCTAGTTTTGAAGGTTCTCATTATCCATCCTATTATTTTCCTAGTAGATGCGGTAGATACATTGTTGTGGTCTTTGAAGGCGAGATCCTGTGACATTATCACTCCCAGGTCCTTCACATTACTTTTCGCACTATTGAATGGATAGAATTTTTTGTATACCCTGATACAGTTTTAATTTCCTCAAGTTTTCCATAGCTGAAATTTCTTTTCATTGAACTTCATATTATTTTGAGTGGCCCATTTGAAGAATTAGTTGATGTCTGCTTGGAGTCTCGCGGTGTCTTCGATGGAGGTTATTGTCATGGTAATTCGGTTGTTATCCGCAAAGGAAGACACGGAGCTATGGCTTACATCTCTGTCTATGTCAGTTATGAGGATGAGGAATAGGATGGGAGCGAGTACTGTGCCTTGTGGAACAGAGCTTTCCACTGTAGTTGTCTGGGAGTTTACTCTGTTTACTAATACTCTTTGTGTTCTATTTGTCAGGAAGTTATAGATCCATCTACCAACTTTTCCTGTTATTCCTTTATCACGCATTTTGTGTGCTCTTACAACATGGTCACACTTGATGAAGGCTTTCGCAAATCTGTATTTTGTTTATCCTCTACAGCATCCAGGACCTTGTCATAGTGGTCCAGTAGCTGGGACAGGCAGGAGCGACCTGCTCTAAACTCGTGTTGCCCTGGGTTGTGTAACTGATGGGTATCTAGGTGGTTGGCGATCTTGCTTCTTAGAACCCTTTCAAAGATTTTTATGATATGGGATGTTAGTGATATCGGTCTGTAGTTCTTTGCAACTGCTTTACTGCCACCTTTGTGGAGTGGGACTATGTCTGTTGTTTATAGTGAGTGTGGGATGACCCCTGTGTCCATGCTCCCTCTCCATAGAATGTTGAAGGCACGTGATAGGGGCTTTTTGCAGTTCTTGATGAACTCGGAGTTCCATGAGTCTCAGCCTGGGGCAAAGTGCATGGGCATGTCATTTATTGCCTTTTCAAAGTCTTGTGGTGTTAGTGTGTTGCACTATATATAGGCTTGTGTACTTCCTGTGTATATAGGCATGTGTACTTCCTGTGTTTATAGGCGTGTGCTCTTCCTGTGTATAGGCTTGTCTTACTTCCTGTTTATATAGGCATGTGTACTTCCTGTGTATAGAGACTTGTGTACTTCCTGAATATATAGCCTTGTGTAGTGCCTGTGTATGTAGGTGTGGCATACAAAGAGTACATTACAATTTATTCGGCGTATGTCACACTCCCATATAGGCTGCCTCCCAACCAGCGAACCGGGTGCTAAGAGTTTAACGATTATTAAGACACCCGTCATTAAAACAGTACCTAGGTTCATTGACCAATCACAGACGAGTCGGTACAGTGCTGAGGCGACGTGGTTCACTCGCGGTCAGCATTTTGCCGACTTGCCTACCTGCTGCTTGAGTACGGTGCTCTCTTTCTGGCTTTTGCTTTTCAATTGCTATTCAATCTCTGTACATAGTGTGCATAAGTGTACATACTTGTAAATACCTGGCAAATTATATTTGGTGAAGGAAATACAAGTTATGGTCTACCTGCTGAGTTTATTTTGGTCCAAAACCCATTACGACCAGGTCACAGGCCATTCATAACCTGTGCTCATAATAATAGGATTGTGTAGTGCCTGTGTATATAGGCTTGTGTAGTGCCTGTGTATATAAGCTTGTGTAGTGCCTGTTTATATAAGCTTGTGCAGTGCCTGTGTATATAGGCTTGTGTAGTGCCTGTGTATATAAGCTTGTGTAGTGCCTGTGTATATAAGTTTGTGCAGTGCCTGTGTATATATGCTTGTGTACAGCCTCTTTATATAGGCTTTTGTAGTGTCTATGTATATAGGATTGTGTACTGCCTGTGTATATAGGCTTGTGTAGTGCCTGCGTATAAAGGTTTGTGTTGTGCATGTGTATATAGGCTTGTGTAGTGCCTGTGTATATAAGCTTGTGTAGTGCCTGTGTATATAAGCTTGTGCAGTGCCTGTGTATATAGGCTTGTGTAGTGCCTGTGTATATATGCTTGTGTACAGCCTCTTTATAT